AAAACCATGGCTGGCCATGAGTGGCCGTGGGCGGTTAGGTAAATGGCCGGAGTCACAACGAGCAACAGTGGGGGTGGGGATGGAATGACTCAAATTCGAAAAGTTAATCAGTTAATCCACTGAATTCAAAAATTTCTACGCAGGATACTTTCATTTCATAGAAAGACTCACAGTTCCAAGAAGTCACTCCGGAGAAGCAGCACCGTAGTTAGTACGGGATGATTGTTTTGAGATGAAATCTGTCAACAAAACAAAACAAGCCTTGACCACACTGGGAGGCACCAGCACTAGGTACAAGGATATAACAACTAGGTCGTTTTTCACACAGTTTGCGATACTACTAACCGCCAGAGTGGGAGAAGGCCAAACGAACCTACACGGAGGTTATATGAGCTGACTGTGAGGATATTTACAACGCATCCAGTCGACTACCCTCGTACCACATTTACCTCCGGTCAAAAAAGTTGGCTGCCTTTTGTGCAATTAGCTGTTCCACATAGAACTTGCTGAAAAGTGCTCGAGGGCCAGACATGTTAAGTAACAGATATATTCGTTGCGCTGAACCACACCAGCTGAGCGATTCTTTTTGAGACCTACGTATTTATTGAGAATTAAAGTTGGTTGCTCGAGGATTGGCTTTTATGACCGATCGGATCCAATGTGCCAAACCAAATACCGACATTTGTGCCTCGTTTATGACAGACAAACAAGAAGCCGACTGTGTAGATAGGACCACACTGGTCTTTGGAAACCGGACGAATAACAGGGTGGCAAACGTAGGTGGCGGACGGCAAATCCAACATTCATATCGTTTTCGATCCTCCAAGACATGACATCACATTCCAAGTAAACAAATTACCTTGTGGTATGACTTCTGAATGAAGTTGTAATGGTCATCGGATGAGGCGACTTTTCAACCAAAATTACATTATATCTTATGTTTATTTATATACCATTTATTGTTATTTAATTAATTAATTTTTTTAAATTTCAACTAGTTAATTAAATGATATTATTATATGTATTTATTTTAGTGGGCTGAGCTTAATTTAACAAGAATAGAATAAAACGGATCTGAAAAACCGTGAGACTGATGCCACATAAATGAGTGGTTAGTTGAAATGTAACACCTGAAATTTCAGCCATTTGAACGGAATCACACTTTCTACATCCTAGCTGTGCAATCAATAACCGTCAAAAGTGAGTTTCGCACATTTTTGTGATATATAAATTAACAATGGGGCTCAGCGCGTCAGCTATAACACGCGTATGTACATACAACACTAGCACAGACACAACTGTTGAACCAAGTCTTACCGAATGCCCACTCGGGTTCCTTTATTTGCCTCGCGCGAACAAAATACAGGCATGGATGGTGGGTGAAACCAACCATACAAAACTGCTGTCAAACGGACAATTGTTGGTTACATATTTCCTTCCTAATGAGCTACTCTTCCAAGGAAACTAACCACTTGGAACAAGAGGGAGATGTTGGTTCCAAAAATCGAGAATCAGCCCTGAAGGGCGGAACTTCAGAAAAGGCAGTCTTCTATGCAATAATGGATAGTAACCTCCAAGGGTTATTGTTATCAGTACAATTGATACAGTAACGGACCACATTAGTATAGCATTTGGCTGTACTCTACCTCAGTCGGTTAATATCCAGCCCTTGAAGCGTGGATAGCATCATCCGTTTAGGCATTTCGTAGTTGAAATCGAGGATATTAGAACTGAAAGATAAGACGGACAGCTCAGTACCTCTTTATTGCTTCAATTTTTTTCATTTTTGTCCGAGAATATGCCTGTTATGGGAATAATTTCAAAAACACTGAGGGTTTTTTCGAGTAGGGGAGGCTTTTGCCAGTTTTATTTGGACACTAGAAACATTGTATCTCTTACAATGCAATAAAAGTTTAGTACTATGATTGAAACGACAGACCAGCTTGACGATACAGCGCCAAATCAGACGTTAAATCATTTGTTGTGTGCAAGGTGTTGGCACTCCTTAATAGCGAGTGGAAAAAATCACCCTAAAATCAGTATAAAAGACGAACAGCTATTTAGATGGATTGCGCAGATGGATTTCATGTGTTATTCATTTCCACTTAA